AAGAGCGCATTCAAAAGTCCACAGCGGCTAAACTAGACTTGTCCAAAAACGACTACTCCCCTCAGCGTTGACACACATTTGGAAAGTAGCGTTGGGCAGAAAGCCGACTTTTGGATCATCCTGTAAAGCCGTTTTTGAGAGGAAAGAAGGAGGCATACAAAAGCATTGGATAATTCTCTTTCCTGGTACACTCCCACCAGCTAGGAGCGGTATTGCAGCATGTCAGTGCACACGCTCATGGACCTTTTGGAGCAAGGACTCGCCCCCACGGGTTCTAACAGAAAGTAAGTAAAATATTGGGAAAAACATGTTATCTATTGAATATGTAAGAAAGGGGCTTGTGAGTTACTATTTGACTCGTTGGGCTGAGAGCTGATTGGCTGAGGGTGGGTTAGGGTTATATCAATCAAAATCAAAATGAGAATCCCAGGATCACAGAGATTTCTATTAATCCAAAAATAACGAGTGTGACACAAACCGTTACTGAGCAAGAGTAGCTAGAGCAAGTTGGAGAAAAACTTTGTCCATGAGCACTTCCCTATTTGGCTTAAGTGAGCTAGCGGGTTAGGCAGGCTTATGTGTACAATGCTGGACAATGTATGCTTCTTTACAAATGCGTTTTTTATAATATGACTTGTGTGTGTTTTGTTTTATTGTATGTTTGCTTTGTGTGAAATGCTTTGTGATCCTGGTCTGTGAAAGGCGCTATACAAATAAACTCACTACTTACTCACGTACGTTGTCCATCTATATACTGTCTATGGTCAAATATTTGATGAAAAACGTTTCCCGAAAACATGGAGCCACCAGATCATATAGCAAACATTAAGTAAAAAAATCTATATTAAAAAAGTGTCCATGTTAAATAAATATTCTTATCCCAGTGATCTGCAAACTCCTCCAAATCCTCTGCACAGTTTTCCTCCACCGTGAAAACACCACGTGCGTTTTGAACCTGCTGAATAGGCAGCGCATAGAACATTGTTTTGACATGTACTTTAAATGTCACACTTGACTTCACTTTGACACATAGGACAAAGCCAAGATCGCTAATTCAGCAGAAGGAAAGAAAACAGCTCACAGGAGGAAAAGATTGTAAAGGAAAAGTCGATACGTGAATACATTTGCAGTAACTTCAGTGTGACAGTGTAGGGGGAGTGTATAAGGGCTTTTGGCAGTATTTGACACGACCGACTCATGTTCGGTTTGAGGCCTGATGTGAGGATTATTCAGTAGTTTGAGTAACTTTGACAGTAACTTCAGTCGGGCTGTAACCATTGACTGTCTAAAGATGGATAATGCTAACCTAGTAGTTCCAAAGAAGCCCAAAGTTTTTCTCCAACTCGCTCTGGCTCCGATTGATTGACATACTCTAGCTCAGTAATTGTGTCACGCTCTCTGTGATCCTGGTGTTTATATTTTGATATTTGTCTTTCAAAATCCATATTTGAGCAATAAGCATTGATCAATTTGATGCCTTCGTTCGCAATGTAAATTCCAGCTTGCCTTAGCAACCATGTTAACAACCCACCTGCCCCTATTAGGGCGCAAAGCTATCGCCGTCGGAACCAATGCCCATATAAGGACATTGGCTCCAGTTAGCTTGTGCTCAAATGGGCTTCTTACGCATTAAACACAAGACAAGAGAGTGAATATAGGATTCAACAGCTCACAGAGGACTTCACAAAGTTTTCAATTCACCAACACCAGTTCACCTTGGAGAGACCCATGAGGAAACGCATTAGACTTATTAGATTTAAGCATGTTTATTGATTGAGCATGTTTGGCGCCCTAGGCCCGGGCGGGATGCTGTTGAGCACGGCGCTTGCTCGCGTGCATGATCCCCCCGGGGCCTAGGCACTGGTGACGGCAGAGGCAGTAGGCAACACGCTTCATGCGAGAAGGAGGAGGTGGGGCGGCGGCGGTTTGCAGACTTCAGAAGATCGGGAAGTGGGCGTCTCCGGCTTTTAACTTGCTGTCCTGGTGGTTATTGGTTGACTGGGTGTGGGCGTTGCTGGTATTGATGAGTCGAGGAAGAGCAGCCTGTGGCCTGGCAGCAACAGCCGGGTCTACCACGGTGAACTTTCGCGAAAGCTCCATATCAGAGAATCAAACTGTTTGAACACAGGAAATGTAATGAGAACAAATAAAAAGGAGCCATCAGTTCATAGGAAGCGGGATGGCAAATGTCCATAAGTGTTAATAAAAAATGTCCATACATGTCCGTATATACACAGAGGGCCTTACTTTGGACATGCCTGGTATAGTAAGTAATAAAGTAAGTAATGTTTATTTATATAACACATTTTTACAGTCAACCCAAAGCGCTTTACAATGTATAGAGTTACAGTTAAATTAGGGAGGCAGTATAGAGGCTACCTTTTGGCTTGCAAAATTAGTATATAATCGATTTGTTGCTATTAAACCATGAACTTGTTACTTGTACCAAGGTTTTTTGCAGTATCATAAATGCTAAGAATCACAAAATGGACCAGTAACTTTTGAAATCAATAAACTTATCGGTGGTAGTTTTGTTGCAGTGATGTCAGTTTTACAGCTACATCCTGGTGAACGACTGCGTAGCTTGGCCTATCACTGGGAACATTTCCCTTTTAAGATGCAGTATAGTTCTCAATGGGCTGTGCTCTTTGCCTCGGAGTGAGCAGGGATAATGAGAATGGAGTGACGCACTTCGACTGAGCACAGGGCAAACAGGGAGATAATTACCTCGAGGAGCCACAGTTATATCGATTTACAATGAAAGCTCCTGAGTGCCCTTTTCTGCCGGTCGCTTTCTTCCTCCGTCTTTTGACTCTTGCAGACATTGTGCAGATTTCACTTAGTTTGTGAGATGTGACTTTTTCCTGGAGGGGAGTCTGCCACCTTTGCTGCTTTGTCTTCATGAAGAAATTGCTTTTCCAGGCTGTTAAGAAGATGTATGCGGTGGCTATCACTAGTTTTTTCATGTGCGTATGTCTGCTCTCTGTCACATATTTAGATTAGCGTTTTCAGTAAAAAAGAGAACCAGATTTCACCCTGTCAGTCAGCTGTGTAAAAGACGAAATAGTCTGATTCGTTCACAAAATGTCACTTAAACAAGACTCTTGTGGTGTAATCTGCATGGTAATAGCATGTTTATGACACTGGTATTAGCATGTAACCCACTAGGTTTTTTGAGTTGTCCTTTGCCAATGCAGGAGGGCCTAAGGACAGTGGTGATGATCCAGGGCCCTTGACATTCATTGACATTTATGGACATTGGTCATCTGCCCCTTATGGACCAATGGCTCTATGTGTTTTTTTTTTTTTTATCATGGCATTTGTGTGTTGGCAAATTGACAACTTTGTAAAGTCCTCCGCCAAGATGACCACTGTTGTGATTTAGGGCTATACAAAAAAAAAAAGATTTGAAAATAGATTGAATTGAATCGACACTCAAGCACACGATAAATGAAATGAAAATAAAAAATGTTATCATCGCATTTCCTGTGGACATCTATTGACATTTTTATTGACATCTGCCCCTTACGGACCAATGGCTATGTGTTTTTATCATGGCATTTCCTGTGTTTGAAGTCTATGGCTTGAACTGTTTGATTCTCTGATCTGTGTTGGCGAATCGACAACTTTGTAAAGTCCTACGCCGTGAAGACTACTGCTGTGATTTAGGGCTTTGCAAAAATACATTAAATTGAATTGACACTCAAGCATACAATAAATGAAATGGAGATAACTGAAACCAGAATTAGGTGAGGTAGGCCTAGAATGTGTGGCCAGACTCGCTTAGAGAAACAATGAATAGTCTTGTCTTTTTTGCCTTTGGTTCAGGTTTGTGAATATGTGGAGTGGAAATACAACCAGGTCTTTGGGGAAAAGAATCGACCAAAAAGTAAACAATGTATTACCTGTTTCGGAATTCAACAGGAAGCAAAACAACTGCAACCAATGCTTCCTCTTCACTCAGATCTATCTAGACCATGCAGGAAACGTCTGGGCAGTGGTGATGGTGAATCTGTGTTTTTAAATTGCTCTTGTGAGCCACTTTGAATCGCCTTGTACATGAATTGTGCTATACAAATAAATGATTGATTGATTGATGTAAGAGTAACTATAGCTGGTAGTGTGTTTGCATAGATTATAGTTGCAACAAAACAGTAAAGTTAGTAACTTTTGGCTCACGACAAAACTCCCACTCCTTGCGAGGTCAAGACTAACAAAAGAACACGACAGACTAGGAAACAATGGAAAGGTACATAATGTCTCTGAGAGGGAAAAACTAGCAACAGTAAACATTTAGTTTTGATTTCAAAATGTAATCAAAGTCGTGATTTCAAAAGGTCGCAAACGCTGCAATTTTTTGTATTATGCAAACAACAAAACGGTGAATATTGTTTAACATTAGAACTCCAGAGCAGTTAAATTGACGGCTTTTTGTTTTAGTAGTGTAATTTCTCAGTGTATGTACCGTTTTGGTCTTCATAACTTTGTGACTTTTTATGTTTCTCAAGTAGTTTATAGTAGTTTATTTCTGTCTTTATCTTTTAGAAAATATCGTACTATTTTTAAACGTGATTAGTTCTATCTTTGAAGAGCAAGTGATGGTTACTATGGCAACACACTGTTTACCGTCAGCTGTTAGCATTTGGTCTTTAGCATTTAGCCTTTCAACAAACTGTTTCAGCATTTAGTAAATGTGAGAAAAGGTTAAAAACACCCCTTAAAAATTACTCACTTTTCGTACATACTGGTGAAAAACTGGACTTTTTCTCAGAATTACTTTGGTTTGAATGGGGCAGTCAAAATGACGGCTAGTAATGTCATAATTGAGGGAGTCATAGTGTTATAAATCTAAAGAAATGTTGACTAGTTGAAATCACTGGTCACTTATGATTCATTATTCTGGTCATATTCTCTGCTGCGAAAGTAGAAACTGCGTATTAGCCTTCAGCTAGCTCTAACCCTAGCCATATACTGTGTGTGTGAGTCTGTGGTGGAGTTACCGTGGGGAAGAGTGATGCTGGCCCCGTCCAGAATGGCCTGAGCCAGCAGGTGGTCGTTGCCCTCGAAGGCACTGGCCGCAGCTCGGAGTGCGTCCCAGATCTCCTTGCGTCCCTCAAACGCTGGCGCCGTATCCCAGAATTCATCTCTCTTACTGCGCAGCTGCCCCTCTGTCATCGGGTAGTCGCTTTTCCATTTGGGCCGTTCGCGTTTAAGCGGCTGGTTTCGCCCTGAAGCCGCTGAGATCAAAAAGACGGGAAGCAAAACAAGGATATAAGTGATTACACAAATGGATTTAAGGTACTTGGTGTAAGATATAAATTAGCTCTTACCAGGAGATGATCAGGAAGTGGTCAAGTCGCATGGTCCAGACATAAAAGTTGTGGTGGAATATATGGAAAAGGAGAAAGAAAGAGAGAGAAACAGGATATCAGCCATTAACGGAGTGGATGTGATTCACCAAAACTCAAGAGACACTTTAACTTAATGTTGTTTCCTCTGAACACAGAAACACGGCTTAAGACTGGAGCAGAATCAATGAGGACGACAGAAGAAGAACAATCACTGTAGGGTTCGTACGTAGCAGATAATGAACCCAGACTGCTATAGAAGCCAACGCCAACGTCATATCCATTTGATTCCTTGGGTGTGCAGACAATTCAAAGACTGCAATTTAAACTTTTGTCGGTGGCAATAATCAGCAAATACGCACAACTTTAGTCATATCAGTATTAAAAGAAAAAAATGTACAAGGAAAAAAAATCATTGTGGAACTAGAGATGGGTCGATATGAAGAAAATAATATCATTTTTCTCAGATCACCAGCCCAATTTAAGCCCCATCAGACATAAAATATAGTAAGATAGTGATACGAATAACAATTAGATGCTTTAACAAGCCTCAGGCAGTGGCTCTGAATAAACTTTGTGAAATGCATAAACGTGAATATTCTAATCTACAAGTTGATTGACAATTAGCACCAGTCTGTGGCCCATAGTAAAAAACACATGTGACGTTCTATGGTTTAAGCAAGGAATATCCAAACTATGGCCCCCGGGGAAAGTTGCGGCCTCCTTAGCATTGGTAACAGGCCCTCAGCGTATTTTTTTGTGTTAAATTAAATCACTTAGATCTCTTAAATTCAGCGTATCCAGATAATCCAGGTTAACCACAGCTCTCTTTAGCTGCAGATACAACTGAAGGATTGTATCTTTGCTCTTTTCAATGTACTGTGATTATTTAAGATTTGAATGCCTTGTGTTTCTTGTTTTGTTAAGCCGTGTGTATGAACTAGTGATAGCTTTTAAAAGTTATCTTGGCGGACTTATCTGACTTCCTGTACAGCGTTTCACACGATCACAAATGTGCTTTAAAGTGGCCTGATGTGATGGAGCGCGATGTTGAGGTGAGTTGGTTAATTGCGGCTCCACAAATCAACTTAGTGTTTCTATTGATGGAACGAATATAGATTTTCCTCAATCCCCAGAACAGCTTTTAAAGTACAAATAATTAGTTTAGAGCTTGATGAGTGTAATTGCAATGGTGAACTCCAACATCACTCTCTCTATCGTTATCTAAACCAACACATAAACTTGTACTTGTGTCCTGCCACTAGACATTTACAAGATTAGGGCTGTAATTAACAGAAAGGTCAGTGAATATGGGATTCGGTTATACATTTGACCAAAACAAAGGTCAAAAGATGCCCCAGGAGTATCTTTATAGAGAGGACTAGTCACTCATTGGGTTATTGGATTAAAAAATTATTCTGAAATATATTTTGGTTTCATCATAGAATTATCTGAACCAGAAAACCTCTCCTCAGCATGTTTTAGTCCATGCAATGTTAAAAGATTCAATTGCAATAATAATACTTTATATATTAGTTTATTTTGAGCAAATAAGTGTACAAGAAACAAGAGTAGAATATCAAAACTGTGCATAAATAACCTTGAGTTACATTTACATAATACACAATTATAAATATTATATACACAAGTGGGAAGAAGAAAAATACGTATTTGATCTCCCCCCCTGGTTTCTTAGTTGCTCCAGAACAAAATCAAAGTGAAGGGCACATTTCAATCAACTGTTCAAGTTTTAAAGTAACAATCAATGGGTTTAAGGACATATATAGACAAGATTGATTAGTTGCGATGACACAAGCTTAGAAAAATAACAAATTTAGCGGCAATCTCACCTGGATAAACTAACCACTTTGCCTAATACACCAAAATTTCTCATTAACTCTCATTTTCTCCTCTTGAGCTTTGCCCTATTACGTCTACATTAGCGCAGCAGTGACAGTGTCTTTCCAAAAGGCTCATAAAAGATCTGCGTGGGCCACAGGAGGCTTGTGTTAAATGAGATCTTGGAACCTTCAGTCGTTCCTTTGGGGAAATGTGGATAAGTGCAGCAGCAGCAAGCACAAAGTAAAGCAACCGATTCTGCAGATAAAAACCTCAATGGCTGTTTTTTCTATTCTTCACATTTAATTTTCTGTGGAAAACATGACTTTAGGGTTTTGTCTGTTTTTTGTTGTTCTTGTTGAAGACTGTAATAACATAAGATACAGCAATATCTTCAGATGTGCTGGAAATGTTTATAACTTTTCACAAATAAAGCCAAAATGGAGGTTCAGACTGGAAGACAGAAGAAGTAAGCTCACTGGGCTCAGTCAACCACACGCCAATTCTCACCTGGCAACTATCAAGCCTCAAGCCTTCAGATCATGCAGGAAGATCAGTCAGATCAGGCCAGATCAGCCCTTTCACCCTTCTTCTACCTCTCCTTCCCAACACCAAGGTCGAGCCCATGGGATCTCATCTAATAGTCTCTACTTTCTGGGTCTAAGCACCAAATCTTAACCAAATTTCTCATTAAAAGTAATCTAGCAAATATCGTCTCCAGAATCGTATGTGCGAATTTATGTAGTGTCAAATTAAAAGCTAGCCAATATACAGTATACAATTCTATTAGTAGTAGTAGTAGTAGTTTATTTTATTCGGCCAATATGTACACCAGATCTCAGGTCACACGTTTTCAGAGATCACATAAACGTTTTACAACATGAAAAAAAATAAAACAAATAATAATAAACCCTTTTGTCTGTTCGAGTCTCTCCAGATTGAAATTGTATTATATTGTAAATGTATCATGTACCAGAAAAAACAGTTGAATGCGTTTCCTTGTTGTCATGGTAATTAGAGATATGAGCTCATTATTGGTCATGGGTAAATGTAATCCAGTATTTCAAAACTTTAATTGTTCATTAGTTAAGAGAATAAGAAGTTCCTGGATGGATCTACAGTAAAAACAACTAAAGTTCCAGCTCAAACAAGTCCATTTTGCTTATCGGTAATAGATCTCATGCAAGGTTGTCTTTCTAAAGCTTTTAACCATATCACAACATCACTTCTACATCAAAAGAACAGGAGTTGTTTGTAGTTTTGTCACAATTTTTACAACAGCGTTCGTCTTTCTGTACAATAACAAAAGTCTTGTTCATTGAAATTCAAAATGTGATCGGGGAATGCAGACAGGCTGTGGGTGTTTGTTGTTGCAGCTGAGGCGGGCGGCATGTCTGTGTGTGTGTGTGTGTGTGTGTGTGTGTGTGTGTGTGTGTGTGTGTGTGTGTGTGTGTGTGTGCTTTGGTGAAGTCCGCTGTGGTGAAAGCTGAGCTGCTTCGACATGTGTTCATAGACCTCCTCTTTCTGGAGCTGGTGTCACGTAGCACAGTGGGCGTCCTGTTACTACACTTTACTTTGACATATGATTATGGGACACACGGGACGCACCGGTTCCTCGGCACTGGGGTTTGCATCGTGTATTTGAATCGAAAAGAATGAGTCAATTCAAATGTATTTTTGTATTGCTCCGAGGACTCTTTAAACGAGATTATGAATAGTTTTACTTCGTCTGTGCAGAGCAGAGTGAGGCCCCCTTGTGAACTCTGGAGGCATTGGAGAAACAGTCTTTAGAGAACTGTGTAAATATTGTTTGTTTGTGTTTTTTGTCTGCATTTTTGTTTGTTTTTGTGTTGTAGGTACTATTTGTTTGTCTGAATTAAAGATGGAATACATAAATATTGTCCTATATCACAGCAGTAGTCGTCTCAGAGGACTTTACAAAGTTGTGGATTTACCAACGACAGATCAGAATATCAAACAGTTCGAACACGGGAAATGGAATATTAACAAATTCACAGGATTATTATTATTATTAGGAGCCATTGATCCATAGGGAGTGGGATAACCGATGTTCATGAATGCTAAAAAATGTCCTTAAATGTCCTGGATCCTCACTGTCCTTAGACCCTCCTCCTGCATCGGCAAACTTTTAAAAAAATACGAAGGAGTGCCCTAAGCAAGAGGTAAATAATTTAAATCTGTTTTCCTACTATTTGTCTGGTGTAGAAGAAAACAAAACAGATCAAAATCTACAAGGAACAAAGACAAGATGAACCTTCCTCAGCTGTAGAAAGATGACAAATTGTGTTTCTGTCTGCTATATATAAGTATCTATGACATCCACGGCTAAAGTACTTAGAACATTTTAAATCTAATAAAATTGTTGTTGTTTTGTGCTTTTGAATTTAAGTTTGTATTACTTTTTTCTGCCTGAGATGTTGCTGCAGTACAGTGTTCATGGTTTTACACTGGTCCAGACCAGAGCAGAGAGGATTCATGGTCTGAACCAAGTGGATCAGATGAAAATCCACTGGAGGAATGCAAACTTTATGAAAAATGCTAATGAAGCACCTAGCATTTTACTTTGGACTAGAGCAGAGAAAATGGTCCGACCCATGAGCGGCTGCTCCACCTTGTGACCCGTCCTGCTTCACCCAAAGACTACTCCACATCTGCTGCTGTGAGCCGTGCTGCTCCACCCAGAGGCTACTCCACCTCCTCTGTTGTGACCTGAAGTGATGTTGCTGATTATTACTATTTTTAACGTTTTAGAATGATCAATTTTATTTTTTAGTTTTGCTGCTACTGGACAACTGAATTTCTCCTACGGGGATCAATAAAGTATAGTAAGATTTGGTTTGGTCCGTCCAGCTGGATCTACACTCATTGTGGAAACATTGTGGATTTTTGTTGTTAAAAGCCTGCACAACACTGCCGACTATCAACTTATTACAGATTCAGAAATTAAAAATCAGTAAAAGCAGCGATTGTGCCTTGTGGCGGTAGTCTACATCCGTGGGAGAGCAACAAGGGAAAGCTGT